AACTTCAGGGCAGTCCAGAGTCCTCAGTTCTGGGGGAGCCAGTCAGGATGCCTGTGTTTACTTTGTAAAACAGTTTGGAAATTTGCAGGTGTGAATGCTAATGTTATCTTTCCTATGGAAATTTGCTGCTCTATTTTCACTCAGAATCAGAAAGAAATCAAGTATGAATATCTCCTAGAGGAAAGAACGTATCTTTCTCTGCATGACTATAATCAAAATCCTTCCGTTAAGTTAATGACAAAACTTCTCTTTACTTCAGTGGGGATGGGATTCACACAGGTGCAAAGCACAAGGTTGTTATACGGTCATACACAATCAAATGCAATCAGAATTGTAAGCTATGTAATCAGCTTAGTAGAAAAAGTAGTAAGCACAATAAGTGAACAATTAACATTACATTGGTGAAGTATCCTAGTGATTGTTATTTGTCAGAACACTTGAATATGACAGATTGTTAAAAATGTTCCAAATGAATTCCTTCAAGATCATCTCTCCTTATTGCTAAAAGTTTATTTTAAAGTTGATTTCAAAGTTCTTGATTAGATCTCCTGCTGTTTAATAATGGGGAAATGGCTAATAGTGTATTGTTTATCTTTAATTTATCTTATTACTATGGTACTACCATCTTTAATCACTTTTTTTTTTTTAAATTAAGATCTTCATATAGTTCATGGGAATATCTGGAAAAGAAACATTGCTCTATTCAGTGCATTGCCTTTTCTAATTTCCTTGGAAGTATGCATTGCTGTGTCTATTGGATTTTGATAACATATGTTTAACTCTACATTTAAGCCTTAACATTTGTTTATTCAATTTTCCTTTGAAATTAGGGATTTTGCCATTCTATGTGATATGTTGTCTATTGTTGATGTTATTTGTTCTCATCCAGTGGGTTTGAAAATTTGTGAATAAACATAATAAATACCAATTTTCTAGTTTTTGAAATATGGATTTCTTCATGATATTTGAAGTCTGCCTAAGCATTTGTTTCCATTCATGAAGCTTGTAAGAACTTGATTTTCCCRTAGAATCATTCTACAATTTTCTGTATTGGCTTTTAGTGGATTATCTTTGGAAGTTTTTACTTATTATTTTTTAACAAAACTCAACAACTTGCAACAATGCTGTAATTTATTTTTCATGTTAAAACAATTAAAAATTCTCTGTGAGTAGGTATAGTTATATTTAATAATGATTTAGGGTCAGCTATTAAATTGAGGAGAACTGCTGTTTCTCAAGACTGCTGGTGCAGCTCTAACTCATATTGCGTGGAAGCAGATGAAGCTGGTTCACACAGCTGGAATGATCCCTCCTAAAAGTGGCACAGAACTACGATGATTTTTATCACTGAGACTCAGTTTTCAAGAGCTTTATGTGGACATAGCTTTGTAACAGTAGCTGCTTGTGTATTTTAAGGAATATGAGCTATATCAACCTTCACTAGAACTCCTTTGTTCTTCACCTTTAGCAGACACACTAAGATGCAATCACTAAGATGCTCTAGGTGTACCCAGAGCTCAGGTAGTCTGTACTGTAGTTATACTGGGCTATACTGATTCATCAGCAGAAAAAAAAAAGAGATTTACTGAATGCTAAAAACTTGGAGWTATGGAAAAATAAACTTAGTTAAAGGTAAAATTATAAATCTCATTTCAGCCTACAGCACTGATTGCATTATTCATTACATCTAATATTTTTAAGAGCCTTCACTTTAAAAGAGCATAAAATGGCAAGAACTTCTGCATTGCACAACATAAAGAGTTTTTGCAGTCTAAGGATTGCCCTGCTTACACCCTTTCCTGAACAGTAATTGTCTGCTTTATCATCTCTTATTTTATCAGCCATTAAGAAAGAGAAATGTTTGAACTGTGGAACACATATAAGTTACCTTAGARAAAGAGTTATTAGATCTAAAGGGGGTGCAAATAGGAGCACTGGAAATAATATAGCTTCTCACATTTATGAACACAAATGTTCTTTCTTTTCTTTATTCCATTTCCAATATCATCTGCTCTGCAGATTTAATAGCTCTCTTAATCTTTGAAAAACGCAATGTATGAAGAAAGTATTCAACCCTTAAAGGCTATTAAAGAAATGTATACCTACTACCTCATAAAAAGCGATCTCCACTTTCTGACAAAACATTGATATGCATAGCAGGAAAATAGGGAGAAAAATAATATGGAAGACATGAATTTCTGATGGCACCTCCATGAGACAATCACATTTTAACAGAAGTTAGTTTTATTTGTTGTTTCACCAACAGTTTTGAATTTCAGCTCAGGCAGAAGAGGGCCCCCTGCAAGCTCTTAGCTAGCACATCTCTGTGAGTGAGAAAAACCTTCAGAAGCTCTCTCTTTCTTTACTCTTTGCCCATGGACACCTACAAGTAGCTTGGAGCACGCTGGACACCTGTTTTGGTTGCACCAGATGACAACAGTCATCAGGTAACCCTAATAAGGCCAAGCCTGATTCAAAGACTGTGGGAGTCAGGAGCTCTTCACTTCTGCTCTATCAGCAGGGCAAACCAGATAGATACAACAGAGGACCTGCCTTACAGAGTATGGATTTCATTACCTGTCAGCAAGCTTGCAGCACCAGAACAAGCAGGTGGAAATAGCATCAATTACCACTGGATAATTGCCTGATATGAAAAGGCACCGTAAAACATCTGTCCTGCAACAAGGCTGCTGAACTGGAATAGTGTATATTGGGTGTGTATATGGATCACGAGAGATGAACCAGGTGAGAGTTTAAAGGGTTCTCCTCACAGCAAAAGGCATCTGTTGCTCTGGGGAAAAAGAAAGCAAAGAAAAGATCCTCTGGTACTTGTTCCATGGCTAACGAAGAGCGCTTGTGAGAACTGGCCTAAATGCTTCTGTTTAGCTGCTTGGGACATGAAATGCTGAATCGTGAAACCTGCTCTTGAGTGAACCATCACAGAGTGGGCTAGGGCTTGTGTATTAAAAGCATGATGCAAAGTGCTAGTCTGTGAGTTCTGTGCATGAGACTGGGCCAAGAGAGTAGGTCAGTCTACTTCAAAGTAAGCCAACAAATGGGGGGGAAAAAGGAATGAAATACAGGTGGCTCAAAACCTATGCTTTTTATTATTAGATATAATATATTGACAACTTGTAAGTACTTTTTGGTAAAAGTGCTTAAGTATACTTTATCCTAATGTACTCTGTGTTTTCTACTTTAATGCCTAGATCAATAGCTAATTATAATTTGAAAAGAAAAAGATACTGCAGTGGAGAAGATCTACTTGCTGTGTTGTTAAATTGCAATGTGATTGGTTGGCTTTAAAGTGTTTTCATATGTTGTCTGTACCAATTCCAGAGTCCCCATAAGAACCAGGAAATAAACTTGTGGAAAATCACTTCATTTCCACATGAAATTGGCACAGAAGCTCTCTGTGGCCAATGGAAGAGGGATGGTTTTGCTGTCTACCTACTTGCTGATACTCATTTGTCCATGATTTAAAATAGGGTCTGTTCTCAGGTCTTACAACCAAATGCAAATTAGGGAAACACAAGACCATACTCATTTAGGCAAAGGTTATTAAAGCAATTTATCCTTTGGCAATCTGAGAGTACAATTGCCATCACAAATAAACTCTGTGTCCTTCTCTAGGCCTATCACATAAACTTGCATGCCCACACAAATAAACAGATATGAGAGAGGTTTTCTCTCCCACACTGCAAACTTGTTAAGAAAAGGACAATTGGATATGTAAAAAAATCTCTTCTTTGAATTTTGTGCTCACCAGTCATTAAAGGGTTTCTTTTCAGAGCGGCACAAAAAAAAAAAAAGAAGAGCTGGTTGACCAAACATTTTTTTTTCTTACAAAGAAGTGTCAACCCTGAGCTTGTAATTAAGAAGTTAAAATCTGTGATTTATATATATATTTATATATATAAAAATAGATGATCATACTAAGACTAAAAAAGTGAAAGAAATCTTCATGTCAGTACTACATATTTATTGTTTTTGATTTTTTGTAGAAGAAATCCTTGTGATACTGAAAGTAAGCGGTATGAAAGACGTAGTTAAATGTGAAACACGGTATTGATCCAGTCGTTGTTGTTAGTCCATTAGAGAATTGCCACCTTGGTAGGAAAATGAACATAGTAGCAGAAAATTCTAATCAATGTCAGAATAGAGATAAAAAGAAAGAGATTATATCACAAGAGATTATTTTCTATCTCTTGAGGGGAGATTTGTCAAGAGAGTTGTTTAGCATCACCATCCTTGTCAATGGGAAGCTAAGTGGAATTCTGGGCCAATTATATAACATGGATAAATGCTAAAAGAAACTAGGTGAGTTTGTGCTACTACTTTTTTTTTTTTTTTTTTTTTTAACTGGGGATTAAGATTTAAATTCTAAACAACTGTAACACGATATTCTGAAGCTAGTGGAGTTACTAAAATACTAGAAGATAAGCTTATTTTTTCAGCTTCTTTACCTTCATACCAATTTGATGTGGTTGGCAGATGGAGTGCAAGACATTCACCATTGAGACATACTCTGTATTGGAAAAAAATCCATACTTCCTTACAATGGCAACGATCATACTGATGACCTAAATCATTGTATAGAAGTTCCTAGAGGAAACTTGGCTGCCAGTGAAGAATGGTTGCATTTTTTGTTCTTTTTTTTTTTTTTCTGTCTTTTTGTTTATTTTCTGTTGAAATGCAGCAGCCTTGGGTCAGGCCAGATTCATAAAGAAAACTTTTCCTGTTTTCTTTCTCCTTCCTTTTTTTTTCTTTTTTTTTTTTTGTTAAGAAAAACATACACTGTAAGATCCTTTTACTTTTGCAGCATAAAAGGAAATGAAGCTCAGAAAGTCTCCCGTAATAAAGATTTGAGAAAGAATTATCTCAAGAGTGGATATTGTCTTCAGAGATATCTGAAAAAAGCAGGAAGCAGTTCAATCTGGCACCTGGTACTCTTTGGGAAAACAAAAAGGGAAGCAGGTTGCAGTACTGCTCTCTTCTCATAGAAAACTGTAAGTATCTGTGGCGTGGTCCATTCTCCAAGAGTATAAGAAAAGAAGAAAGTTGGCTGTTTTTGTAGCTAAAACACAGTTTCTCCAGCCAGATTGAGGATTATCTCCACTGTCTCTGTAGTAGGAGGATGATGAAGATGATGAGCAATGTAGACAGTGATTGGCTAGGCTGGGTGGCTGAGGCCTCCACTTCCCTCCTGTCCGAGTCAACAAGTGGAGCTTCAGTTGTGATGAAATCAAACTCAGTGGGACAGATGTCATCTGTACAGCCACTTCCACTTCCTGAGCCACTGGTTTCATCACCTGGCATAAGAAAGGAGAATAACAGCATGAGGACCCCTATTAGAAGGTTGCTCTCTTCCTTCAATTCCTGTCCTTATGAAGGAACCATCACCACGTCTCCCAGAGACACATTTTGGAAACTGGACAGTGTTTATGCTGCCAACATTCATTTTATTCACTTTATAAAGCACGCAAATGAAAGACATGGTGATTTAGTTGTTCTGGAAAAAGGGTGGATTTCTGGTACTATGTAAATTACTATGTTTCTTGAGGCCTTTGTTTYGCTGACAAGCAAGAGATTCAAAAGAAACAAATATAACTGGAATACTATGAGATAGAAAAAGATGTTTTTTATGCTACTCAACAGCACAGAGCACAAAGACCAGGGAAAGTCTTTCTAATAAAACTGATAATTAAATTTATAAATTTATTTCAGACATTTCAGACTTTAAACCTSGTTAATTGCAGCTTACTTGTGTCCTGGAAGTTGACATCATTCCCATTATATGCGTTCTTCAGTTTGTTAGTCATGACACGTAAAGCCATGATCTGTTGTCGAATGAAAGTATCTGGCCTTGTGATGTCCACGTCTACTTCTGGATTGTTGATCTGGTTAGTCAAACCATCATTCATAATCTCAGGCAAGTATCTAGATAGCAGAATGAATGATTAGTTGAAAATACAGTGCATTTCAGAAAAAGCATCTGTACTGTAAATGCTGTGCTAAGCAAATTGACAGCAATAACAATTACCTACTTTCTAAACAGCTCCAGGGAAGACATTTTTAAAATATGTTCTTAATTTTGCAGATTCTAATGGCTCTTTTTAGTAGCCTGGCTGTAGGGTAACCAGAAAGAATATAAACTACTCAACCTCCTTACTCTCCATATTCTACCCAGCAAGTGCACTGATTCTGAAACCCAAGGAGGGTTATATTAGCTAACAGTAAGTCTCTGCGTGTTCAGATCCTCTGCTGATACAATTGATTGTACACTAAATTATTAAGGCGATAATTTTTCTTCTGTTTTTACCTTTTTGTATTTAGAAATTATGCACTCTACTACATGTTGGTTTTGAGAAGACATTATGGCTCTCCCCTTTCTTAAAGGGGGAGATTATAATCATTTTTTTCTCCAGTTCTTGTTTGCATCTTTTTTTTTTGACTGCTGTAAAAAATATCTCCAATTTGACTGACATCCCAGCCTRTAAACAGGGTCATGAGTTTACAAAACCCCAGCATTACCTTTTATTTGTTGCTTATTCCTTATTTGTSCTCATTCCTAAATACAAGGGGGCTTGTATTTATGGCATTATATTTATTGTATTTATGGCATTCAATACAAGCTTGTGTCTCATATAGGCAGTGTGCATCACATATTTAAGATATGAGTTTTCTTATCCACTTACACATCTGAAATTCTTATTCAGGTTTTTAATTTATTATTTCTTGATTACTGCAGCACTCTTCTGTGACCTTGACAAATGCAGCCTTATGCTGCTTACAGCCATCCAGCGTGATTTGCAGATATAACTCTACTACAAAAATCAGCCCATGTCTCTGATCAACCAATGGTGACAGTCTTCATCTTTTGTTAAATATTCACGCTTTGCCCCAGATGCTGCCTGTGCTCAGAGAAATCTCCTGATAAGCATCTGCATAGGTACCTCTTTTCCTGTTTTGAATCTCTTTCGATTATCAAAATTATCTATGCTTTCTATAGCTGCGAGGCTGATGAAGTGTTAATATTATTTCTCTGTGCTGGTGTGGTAACCTGGAGAAAACACTAAATCCTTGTACACTCTTGCCTGTCTTCATTCATCTGCTTTCTTTATCTCATTTATATTGCAAGGGATTTGGGGCTATCCTATGCTCATGTTCATTATCAGGGTGTGATTAATTTGGTAATTAGTTTACAAGCGAGGCTACCCTACTTATGTCTGTGGGACTTCTCATGTGGGTAAATGCTCTGCAAGTGATGATAGCACCATCTAGCCAAATAATYGCAAACTTCCACAATATCTCGTGCCAAATATAGTTTTATAAGTAGTAAACTTCTCTCACTGGTGCCAACCCAAACCTCTGTCAACATTCAGATTTGGCTCTGGTGCCAGTGTGTTGTTGCTATTGGTCTGGAAGTAAATATATTCCTTAAAAATAAGTATGAAAGTAAGAGAGAAGAAAGCCTTTCTTTTTCTGATGAAACCAAGGTTAAGGGAAAATAAGTTTTATATTGCTCCTGGAGGTTCACAAGATGATGAGTGCTTTGCTGAGCCAGGGAAGGGTTTAGTCACATCGTAATAGTACTTGCTTTGCAAGATGAGACTCATTTGTCATCAGTGGCCTTTGGAAGCTTACAAGAGAATAGTCTCATAGGAGTGGGAACATCTAAGAATGAAACAAGGCTGCCAAAAATACCTGGCCTCAAATTGCATTTCCTGATGTTCTGCTAGCAGCAGAAGAAGCAATAACAATGCTGTGGGGATCCCATCCAGACTCCTGTGGTACACTCTTAACTAAGGTGAGGATACAGAGCTACCTCCCACAGCACTGAGAACTGCAGTACCCAGCGTTATGAATTACCGCAGATAGAAGTTGGAAATAATTCTGCAGAGCTGCCTGGAGGCAGAAGGATGGAGACCTTGGCACACAGGGAAGCTCAGGGCTACRAAGGAATGGTGCCTCCATCTGTCAGAGGTCTCTACAAATGAAATGGCTACTCTAGATAAATTGCTCAGCTTGGAAGTAAATCACTGATTTCAATGTACGGTTGATTAAAAAAAAAAAGAAAGGATGTAAGTATTGCCCTACCGACTCAGAAGGGGTGTCCATCTTGCCCAGTATCTTGTCCACGGCAATGGCCAAASCTATTGGTAGCTGAAAGTTATCTGAAATCTCTGACTATCCGTGTGGACTGCTTTCCTTCTCTCTCTGGGAAGCGACAGTGGCTCTTTATTGCAAATGATCTATGAGAAGCTATCGCTGCTTCTGAACTGCAATACACAGGCTTTCTTTGACCGATTTATGTTGGATTTCATATTTTTTTCATATTGCCAATAATAAAAGAATGTACTGACTCAGTGAGCTTTTAATATGGAGAGAATATGAGTTATTTTGGGCACTTAATGCAGTTAGGGAGTATTACGGTATGTGCTTTGTATGAAGGCTCAAATTCTTTGCTGTGATCAGTGTGGGTCTGATGTCCATATGGAGATGATTTAACTTTAAATGGGATAGTCCACTGAATTGTAGATATTCAGTCAGCGGTCATTCCCTCCCTTCAGGATGTGGTGATACTCACACCACTCCTAGCATGGAAGGCCATTCCATTTTAGCTTGTTTTGATATAACTGTTTTTAAATTAAAAAGTTCAATAAATAATACAAAAGGAGAGATTTTGCAACATTTAGGCAATTTATACAGAGTGTTGAGAAGACATAATCAGCAACTTTGTTACAATAAATCTGCAAGAGAAAATTTTCTTCCAAATAGAGGAGATATAAGGTGTGGTGAAATGATTGGTTACAGCAAAAATAGGATTTGACTGTTCCATGCATAATTATCAAACCAGACATCTAAGGCTGGGGTTTACCACTTATATCTGTTTTTAGATTAGAGGATGTTAACATAATTCTACAGGAAGATCACACTTATCAGTTCATCAAGCTTCAAGCAAATTCCTCATGTTGCAGGCATTTTAACATCAGATTAGTGACTTAAAAAACTTTTTAGATTAGGCAGATGTACCAGTGTGATCCACTATGAGTATTTAGGAGCTAATTTAGATGCATCTTTATTTCAGGAGTTTAGGAAGCCCCCAGGTGAACTCTCCAAATGACAAGGAGAGCAATTCACTTTGCAGAAGAATGTCCCAGTGCACTTCATCTAGGTGTATAAGGTGACCAAACAGGATCAAATAACACATTATCTTATGAACATCTAAGTGTTAAGCACATAACTGAGCACCTTGGCATTTACAACTGCTGACTGAAGGATTCAAAGAGCTGTGGTGGGATTCAGCTTCAGGTTTTTGTTGATGCGAAAGCCTGTGTGTCTAAATACACGTGACTGCTGACTCCTGCTCTTGTGTGTGAAGATCTTGTCAATACTAGTCCATGGCAAATCTTGTCAGTGGAGGATATATGGCTGTTTGACTAACAGCTTTTGGCTGGATGATTAGTTTATTAGTTCCATCTACTGGGATTTAGTTACACAAACATAAGCATCTGGTGCTACTTGAGATGCTTTCAGTTCATCCTAGACTCTAGCTACCAGCCCAGAAAAGTGTGAATCCCCCACAGGTCCTGCTTTCTGTGATCCTGTGCTTGCACACAAGCTGAGTGCAAATGTCTTGGATGCCTAGGGCATCTGAAGCAATATTAGATGCAATCATTCTTTAGACAGCTGGACTGAGTCTTGTGTTCCTCTGTAGTCACAGTGGGATATGCTGCTTGGAGTCCTGCTGCCACTCTGGTAGAGTTKGATCATCTGTGGGTCTGGGGAAATATCTGCCAGCTCCATGAAGGTGTCTTGTGTATTTACAGCATTTCTGATAGTAGTAGGTGTATGTGCCTGGGCATTGAAATCATTGACTAAGCTGACTGGATACTGGGGCTCTGCTCAGGCACCTTAACAGCGGTGAATTTGGAGATGTTTTAGCAGGTTTTGTCCAATCTCTGGTCCAGAAAGWAGGCAGTGTCCTCTATCATATCCGTCACAGATATCCCAGGGAATCTCAAGTGACATGACTGTCTCWTCGTCTACTAGCTCCTGAATTCCTGAATTTATGTGTCTAAACTCAAAGCTGAATTCTTCCCTCATTACCGAGCTAGTTCACCTCCTTCCTCAGGAGAAGAAAAAGAAAAAGCAGAAAAGCTTATATTGAATAAAAATATCTTTGAATTGTTTTCCTTCCTTCAAAGGACTGCTATAGATAAAGGAGCACGCAGCTCAAGATGCTTCTTGAGCAACAACCTCTGCGCAGCAACTGAGCCCATGTTCTGACAAAAGCATTTTGATGTGTGCCGGGGTAGAGTTAAGGCAYGCACAACTGGATGCCATGTCTTGGGACTGCTTTCTGATGGCAGATTTGTTGCTGGCTGGGCAAAGTAGTTGAACACAGCTGCTTCTGCCACAGCTTTGCAAGCAGAGGCACCCCCGTGAATTTTAAGCTTTGCTACTGCTGTTTCTGCTCTCGTTAGTGAGCTCTCTGTATGCCTGGACTGTATGTCCATTATAATGGAAAAAAAGAGCAGTCCTCTCCTGAATCATGTCTGTATTTTACACCCACACAGTTAAAAAAAAAACAAAAACAAAAAGCTGTCTTAACCCTCTGAGCATAGAGAAGCTGGACATCATTGTTTTCTTTGTTTTCTCCTGTTTGCTCCTTGCTCTGCTRTGTCAGGAGTTTAGTGTAATTTACATTATTTTCTAAAATATTTCTACATTTCTAAAATATTTCCTCTTCACCTTTTCACAGTTCTTCCTTGCCCTAGAAGACATAACAAAAATGTCTTCCTTTTGGCACATCAGAGCCTCTCAAATCTTCTCCTTTTTTATTTTTTTTTAAATACCCAGCTAATATTCTAAGATATCTGCTTCCTTTTCAAGTCTAAAAATTACTGATGAATCTTTCAGGTCACCTGTATAAA